TGAGTGAGCATACTTTGATTATAAAGGTGTCATATGTAAAAGCATCGTCAAACTCCGAATACTTGTGGCACTTTTAAACACTATTTAATATTAGAGGTAGATTGGAAGTCGTTGAACTGAGCAGCTATAGTTGTATATTTTTGCGCTCACTCCCAATCATATCGGCTCTATTGACTACAATTTTGGAAGCGTTCTTTGCGCGAACGCAAACAGTCTTATACAGGATTCCGCTTTTGAACTTCAGGTTACAAACGGTGAACTGATCGTTACACGTAGTTACACATACGTGCACATGAAGGTTGGCTTACTTAACCCTATCCACCGGGGTTCTATTGTCGCAGACGCCCCATTGCCAACATTGTCTGCGACCTAATAGGACACCATAACCTTTCATCCCACCCTAGCAGATGGAGCTTAACGAATGGTGACTCAAAACTCCCTGCTTGTGTCAATTTTATTCGCTGATCACAATTTACGTCACATTCGAATCTCACGCATCAAGTATCGATTGAAAATATGGCTCGATTATAAGTACATACAACAGCAAAAACTCTGATCAAGAAAATTCTGCGTGCAAACACGGGTGATCTTATCCGCAACGCAACCATGTAAACTTAATGTATCGCACACTGTCGTTTGTGCGTTCAAGTAACCACAGATTTTGCCATTTCATAATGTATTTCTAATTAAATAACCAGATTATGTAGTTAATTTTGATCTGTTTTTAATTTTTATTCGCCACGTCTGACTGCGTTACACTGTATGTCCATTGCACGCTGGGATGATATCTCAAGTCATAGTGAGTTTATTCACATAGTTGATTGTTTCCAGACAGACTGTCAATGTATGATTTTACTGAAGAAAGGTTTGTTGTACTGTAAACTATGTTTCTATGAACAACTGCCTATTGTCTTCAGTATGAAAGCAGTATATATGTAACCTTTTTTTCTTAAGTAAGTTCAACTGGCCTATATTTCCTGTTTTGGTTTTATCGGCTTAATTATGTTCATTTAACTACTTTGAGCAACATGTCTTTGCAAGTGAAACAATAACTATGACACTTGCTTAGTTTAGTGTTCTTGGTTGTCGTATAATTCAGTTTAGTTGAAAGAATTATGATACACTTAAGTATAGTGCTTGAAGCCTGTAACGAAACATATCAGTTTAGTAAGTAGAGTTGCCTGTTTCCAATGTGTATACGAATTCAGATCAGTCTGGTTAAAAATGGGAGAAATACCTAACGATGGAGAAGGCGGGAAGAATGAGTTAAACTAATCGGAGTTGGTCGATTAGCATGGCTCGGCCATACAGGCGTGGTCCCTGCGGAATATTACCTTATATCTTTCATTCATATTAAATATATTGTTCTATATCTAGCCTAAGCTTGTTCTCCATCATGTATTGGTGATTGTTACGATACGATGAGTTGGCGTAGTCGATGGCGTGACTTCCATGTAAGATTTTATAGATTGGGCAGTTATATCATGACAAATCTAAAAATTTAGGATTAGGTCTATTATTAGAGCAGCACTAATGTTATAGTAGACCATAATTCTACATATCTACGCTTTATTTAACGTTAGTTATTTGCGTGACTCCGCTTGTAGCAATTCTACAGTTACTGCCGGTTCCAATTCCGGACAAGGGTTGGGCACGGGGTCAGCAACGTCATCCCGTAGAACACGACATTGCTAAAACGCTCTAACCAGAATAAACAATTTAAACCATTTAAACTTTATCGTAGGAGTTCAAGGAAATTCATTTAGGAGCATTATAACCTATGGTGAAGGTCGGGATTCTTTGGATGTCACAAGGCTGTTCCTTACTCTGACAACCAGAGCAACAATTAATTTAGGTGTACAGAATGTCCAGACAATGTGGCAGACCAGGATAACCAGTCATATAGCTGTGAAAATGAAGGGAGCTATTGGACAGAAAACATTAGATTCAGGAGAGGTGCTGTTGTACTGTGGTCATGAAAAATAAAATGCTCCGCATACGCAGAGTTGGTTTGATGCTACCCAATAAAGCATGAAAAGCACTTATAGGATGAGAATCTCATGGATTCAGGATCATCAGAGCATTCTTTGAAATAAAGAAGGGGGGATTATAATGAATGTTATCCAATGCTAGGAGCTCACCAATGACGGTAATGGAGACGATTAGGATAAGTTTTATTAGACGCTGTAGTCGACCTTAGAGGCGCCCATGGAAAAAAGCGGACCGCAAGGGGATTGTAATGATATTGGTTTTAAACCACACGATCTTTGAAGCTGAACATAAAGAAGCTGAGAAAATTCACTCTCAAAATGTGACACGAAGAGAAGGTCAAAGATGATGATTGCACAAAATATTGATTTGTATGGCATGGCTCAGTCATGTTATCCAAGTTAAGTAATATTGAGACTAAAGACTTCCTAATTAGGCGCCAACAAGAAGTGAGGGTGAACTGGCAGTTGTTTGTGCTTAGCGGAGTGCCTCATGGTACACTTTGGGGGCTGGTGTTGTCCCCGCTATATGACCTTCCAAGTCTCATACCATCCTCGATTTCATTAAATGCTGAAGACGTTAAAATATAAAGAGCGATAATAAGTGAAGTAAATACTTTGGAAATTCGAAATGACCTGAAGAAATTATTTGAATTTTCTAGAATTAGGCAATTTCCAATAGATGCTTCCAAGTGCTTTGTAATACATGTTGGTCACCGAGGTACAGACATATACACGGTGAATAATAGTGAACTACCTATTTTCCAGTCATGCCGTGACCTAGGAGTCATCGTTGGCCAAAACTTAAAAGCTACTCTACACTACTGTGCGGTAGTCACCAAGGGTTTTAGAGCTCTATTGTCGTTAATTAGAGCCTTTAGCCATGCTGACATTGAAACCATTTTGACTTTGTTTACGGTGTTCGTTCGTCCTTGAGTTGAGTATTGCAGTACGCGAACGCTCTTAGAAAGTTAACAAGCCCAGAACAACTGACTATCGACTTTCCCATCGAATCATCAACGAATGAAATGCATTACCTTATCACATTGAACGTGAGCGCTGACTTGGTGTACCGGAAACTGCAGCAACTAATAAAAGACACTTCTCCTGGCCCGGATATAGTTCATTCTGCTATACTTAGTGAAGCAGCTTCAATCCTGGCAGCACCGGTTAGCGTGATGTTCTCACGCTCGCTAAGCCGAGGTAAACTACAGGAAATTTGGAAGCTGGCTTACATCACACCGATTTTCGAAGGAAGTCAACGCGGCGAAACTTCAAGCTACCGACCGTTGGCCCTTCTCTCTATACCTTCAAAAATTATGGAATTCCTGATATGCGGCGCTATACACGACCATCCTTAAACTTCTTTTCACCCCGAAAGTATGATTTCAGGAAAGTTCATTCTTGTATAACCAACCTGCTGATTGAGGTGGGCAGATGGACGGCCATCCTTGATCGCAACGGGGAAGCTTGATGTCATTTACCTTGACTTTTCAAAAGCACTTGACACAGTCAACTACATATATCTTAGCACTAAGCTCAAATGTTTGGGTATCAAACCACTTCTAATTGACTGGTTCACTTCGTATCTGAAAAATCGACATTTTAAGGTCAGGGTTGATTTTGCTTTCAGTCAGGCTATGGAATATCCCAGTGGGGTTGCTCAGGGTTCTGTACTAGAACTTCTTCTTTTCTTGATTTATATAAACGATCTTCCACAATAGGTATCGTCAGACTTAATACTTTTTGCTGATTATGTGAAAGTTTGGAGAGAGATATGCACCGAAGAGGACATACTAGCACTTCAGGAAGATCTGACTCGGCTTCAAAGTTGGGCAGACGACAACGAACTTACCTTTAAGACTCCAAGTACAAAGTAGTCCATCTGAGACATGTTGCAGACTACAGTCACAACGTAGAAAACTCCTCTCTAGAATTATCCCAAGTTGATAAAGATTTAGGGGTTCTGGCACCCTACGACTTGAAGTCTTACGTTAACTGTGACAAAAATGCCTTTCGAGCGAACACTGCACTGGTAACATTGAAGCGCATTTTTGGCCAGTTTGATGGTAGAATTTTCCATATGATCATCAACAGTTTTATACGTCCCCAATTAGAATATGGAAACATAGTATTTCTCCCCTCACTCCAAAAGGATAAGGACACTCTGGATCGTATCTAACGGCGATCCAAGAAGTCATTTCGGGGAATCAAATTCAAGCCTTACGAAGAGCGCCTCCAATCACTGAACCATTACACATTAGTATATAGACGTCTTAGAGGTGACCTCCTAATGGCTTACAGCACCCTTACCACTTCTGGACATACCCTTAAACACCTACTTAAATTTAGCCCCAACATATACCTAAGAAGAAACACCCAGAAACTAGCGACTTCTCAGGAGTCCTTTAAGAGGAATCTTGACATATTCTTAAGGACTAAGGATAATATCCTACCATGATTTTCCAATTTCTTTTTCTTTTATTATCGTTAATATATGTAGGTTCCTGCCTGGAGGTATTAGTGATCCCCTGCTACTAGACACGGATGCCCGTTAAGTGAAGGCTTCTCCTATTCCGTCCACAACCAGTTGAACATAATTGATGCCCCATCTGCCAACGCTTTCGAAAAACAGCTAGATCAACCGAGAGACCACTATTACTAGGACTAACACAAGTAATCCAGCCTCTTGTCTTTTCCAATCTGAAACTGATTGGACAGTACATCCCGCTGCGTATAATTAGTGCGTAACATTGTGAGCTAACGGATGCTGTGTGGATGCATCTGTTTTACTACAAATTTTTTAAACATTTGACGTCAGTTTGGCCATCCAACTTACTGTCTAAAATTTTTGTTTATTTTTACGGGTTCGTTAACATGAAACAGTTATGCGAATGAATTACGACTAGCTAGTCGTAATTGACTAGTTTAGTTAAGATGATGACACATTTAGGTGTTATTAATTGTCATGAAAACGTTTTGATAAGCACCGCTGAAATACATAGCCAACAATTGAGCTATTCTAAGCTCATAAAAATCCGTGGGGCCGAAATTCATTGGCATTTAAATGCACTTACTGCGGCTATGACTCTGAATAATAATACTAATCTATATTTTTATTGCAGATTCAGTCCATCCATTATTGTCTTAAAGTCAGTCGGAGCTTTTTAAAAGAAGTGCAGTTAACATAAAGTTATTTATTCTGAAACGGCGGTGAAAATGCGCTGTAGGTCAACAAATATCTCCACCCTTGAATAAGTCTTGCATGTGATTCATCACCAATTAGTTAATATTTTTATACGTTGTATATAAAATCCGACAACGTGGTGTCTGTCAAAGCCTGTTATTGTGTTTTACTTTACTGTTCCTTTGGTAGCGAATTGCTCCTCATAACTATAGCCTTAAATGTTCAGCGTTTAATAATGGGTGGTCAAGTTATTGATTACCACGCTCACTTAAGAAAGGACTTCATTTGTTATCTTGAGGGGTGGGTTATAGCCTAGGTTTCTGGCCAAGTTTATTGTCACTTCATATATAATGGCTTTTTAATATTTAAAAGCCTTAATTTACAGTTGTGAACTATTTTAAAAAAGTGTATAAAGTCCTCTCTTAGAGTGACTTTTTTGTAAGTATATGTGGTAGCTAGAAATGGTCAAGTAACTTTGAAGAATTTGCAGACTTTGGAAGTTTGGCCCACATTTTCTAAATGTTCACCAAATTTCCATAGTTCAGACGCAATCCGAAACTACAGACGCGTTTATTTATTTATTGATGATTTACTTATATTGCAAGGTCATCATCTACAACAACTAAAGTCATATACTGTTTGTCACAGTGTTAATTCAATGGTTTTTAACAACCGTGCGTAGTATTTATCCTTTATTTCTTCCAAAATGTGAAGATTTCCGAGGGACTGTAGATGTACCAATAAGTATTGTAAATTATGAATATAGTCTTCGTACAGCTACGTGTAATAAGATGAGTTATTTAATTTCGAAGCTTTTACTGTCTTTCTGGACGAAATCAACATAAACTTCATATAGAAGTGAGGTGCTGGAGTACCTTCGCAAGTGATTAAGGATGTGCTTAAGGATAAAAATATGTACCAACCAGTAAACGTAAATCCAATTTAAAAAATGCGATAATCAGACCATTAGTACTTTAAAAATATTAATCGAAGTATAACAGATACCAAAACAAGACCAGTAACAAGTGAAAAACAATGGACTTCTATAGTAGGTTGAAACTGAGCAAGACAAAGAACTTCAATACAACCAATTATCTTACTTCTTAGAACCCAGGCACTAAATCTGTTACTAAGAAATTAACATTGCAACCTGTGGTACATTCATGCGATCAATCTTCTAAACCTCCCATATAATCTGCGGATATGGTTAAAGACATTCAAATAAAGTGAAAGAAGTTGATGTTAACCTTTGGCGACACAGTCTTATTTGCTTCAGTTAAAGCAGGGGTAGTAAGAGACATCGTATTCTTGCTCCTCATCAGCAATACAGATCTTTATAAATACAAAAGGTTAAAAATCATGGTTCCGTTAAACTCATCGATTTATGTCCAGCAGTATATTTCAAACTTAACATTAAGATAAATAAAGGCACAGAACTGTAACTGGTCAATTTGATTTGAAATTCAATTGAGGAATATAAGATCACAACCTCATGTTTTTCATGAACTATCATAGACAAATAGATTTATGGTAAAGTATCCAAATAGCTTTTGTGATTATTGATTAGCAAACAGTGGAAAAAGCAGTTTCATAAAGTATAAATTTACGGAAGAACTAGCATATAAAATAAACATTGAGGGTTCAGAAAACAAAGAAAGTCGTTCAGAGTCAGAACATATGTAGCAAACATTTTATATATGTTAATATTTATGAGGACCTATTAATCATATGAAAATGTCTTTTAATTAAGAAAAATAAGTGTATTTTGTTATCTAGATAAGGCAGCGGTAGAACAAAGTTCATGGAAACTAAAAGGTGTATTAAGATAGTACATTTTTAGCAATCTGACCGCACATATGCTTGTTAGAGGACTTATGTGGGAAAATCAAAGGTTGGCCAGATAATTAGAGGATAAGTTAGACGGATGTGTAATGTAATCCACATTGTTGTTCTTATTACCTTTGATTCCCTCCAAGTTGACCTTCATTTTTTCATATATAAATGTCGTAACAAATGAATATGTGGTCAGACTTTTCAAAATGTATTGTGCTAATATATTACATAGTTTTGACAAAGTGATTTTATTACATCATCTAAATTTATCAGGACTAGTTTTTTTAAAAATTTCAATGTTTGGTTATTTCCATAACGTTTCTGTGTTTCATTTCTTTTTCAGACTCTAATACTTTTGCGAACATAACCTAGATGCGTTCAGTACCTTTACGATCTTTCAATGACTTTTTAGGCTTTGGCGCTCGATACAGTATACCCAAAGAATGTAAATGGAATGGACGAATGGTTTCAAATCTAATTTATTATCAGTCGAATTACTTTTTGTTAAGCTTAGTTATAATAATGTTACTGAGGTAATACATGATTAAGTTTTTAAAATGTTTTTTATAGCGCGCTTAATCCCATTCCCGTTTTAACAGGACTTCTTGTGATATGCTTACCCTTGATGATCCTCCTATTTTTAGATACACAAACCCTTAACACTATTAACCAACCAAAGATACTTGTACCTGTATGTATTGTCATCGCCATGTTACTGATTCGTTTCATATCTGGAATCATCTTTTTCTTTTGTGTCCTACTTATTCCAGTACTAAGTAAGTTTCAATGTGAAATAACTATAGTGATTAAAATCAGCAGTATGCCTTCATGCCCTCTGTAGACAACGTAATTTAAAGAACAGAGTTTGTAAACTTGTGGAATCAGTTCGCTCTGGAGAACAAAAGACACTAATGGGATATATGCTGGAAATATTTGGTGTAGATGTACGACTGCTTACTATTGATAATTAATTGAAGATCATCTTGATTAAAGAAGATGCATCTTTTCATTGAACAATTCATTTCGTATTGTTTCGTTCTTATTACTGTTGCTTTGCTCATAAATGAAATACTTGTGTTGTTCCTGTGAACTTTAGACTTATTTATTGCATGCATACTTCACCAAACAAGTTTTAACTCGTCTCAGAAATATACATATATTGATTGTAACCGTTATTTCTTCCGCGTATATACAGGCTGGAACTCAGTAAGTGGTATCTTAGTCTAAGAGCACTGTATTCAGTTGCGTGATTCCAAGTCATCATTCACTTGTGCAAATGATATTTACTCGATAAAAGGTAGACATCTAATTGTATAATGTGTAAGAAAGGCTGAAAACCTTGCAATATTTTACGGCAGCTTAGTTCCAAGCGAAAAAGACCATTATACATAATAATATTACCAATGTATTTTCGTAATTTATTGCAGCTATATAGGGGCGAAGAGAATAAACATAAACAAAAGTGGTTGGTAACCTAACCCTAATCAAGGATGCTACAGAGATGGGACTGTTCTGCCTCTCTGACATCCTACTTTGATCTTTTTATGATCGCTCTGCATCAATCAATGATTCTGGGTTAAGCAAATTAAGGAGAGCAGAGAGGTGATTACTCGTAGTTTATTTATGACAAAGTTGAATAAAAACAGGAAGGGTGGACAACTTCAAACAATGCTAACTGAAGTAAAAAAAACCCAGATGTTAATTTGCTGCAAGACAATCTGACCATGAGTATTCGTATAAGAAGCTTCCGTTTACGGCCCTTTGAACACTTTATTGTTACAGGGGGTCTCAATTAGTAACTTCCCGTATCGCCTTCATATCAAGAAACAGCTAGAATCTACAGTCCTAAAGGTGCATACTTTGCTCAGTGCTAGCAGATACGACGAAATTACCTCATATTTCTGAGCTTCGGTTAAGTATTATGCTAATACGTTGTCCAGAATTTTAGATGACTAACATATTGTAATAAGACTATGATTCCTTCTTGTCGACCGGAACTAACAACGACTGGCTGACTAGATGAGCTTGCTGTCAGTTTTATTAACAACTTCAAACTATCTTTTTTTCAAAATCCTTTGGAGTTAGCCCGTCAAGTTTTGCTACTCTACCTCTCCTTAAGATTGTTGTGCTAAGATCCCAGTCTTGAGTTTTAAGAGAAGTTTGCAACAACCTAGCCGAGCCCGCTGGCACAACAGCTACCTGAAACACTCGGCTTACATAAATTAATTACCAGACCACAAAGCATACTTTAGACAGAGTTATGTTATAAGTGACAGAAAGCGGAGCAGACAGTGTACGATTAATTAGCAATAACTGAAGAACAGTGAAAGGCATAATAATTGATAGGTTGACTGGGAGTTTACAATAAGGAGATTATGGCAAAGTTACCTACTAATTACACAACAAAAATATGAATAATCCGGATTGTTCCAACTTTTCCCACACTTCATTTATCGTAACAAAGACCTCTAGAAACGTTTTACATTGCTAAATCTGGAGCCTTGTTATGACGGTCGGTTTTCCACGTTTTTAAGAATGAGACGTTCATCTGCCTCAGACGAATATCTACACTTCAACACAACTCAGATAAAAAAAACACGTGATTAGCCTGACTGGAACTTAAATATATTTCCACACCAAAAACCGACACAATCCAACAATAATAACAGGAGAATATATAACTCATCTATCTACAAGTCTGAGTAAGCAAACAACTAGTCGATCTCGCCCACGCATCAAAACTTTAGGCGAGTAATTTATCCAAGTTGTTGGTAGGCAAAAGAGAACAAAGGGCCCTTTGTTGTCGCGGTGTTACACCCAACATTTCAGTACATAAGTCTGGTATAACCACTGGTTTTTTTCTCCGGAGTAGCCTCATATCTTTATAATTTGGAACTTCGTATCGTTTGTCTTCATCTACTACATCCATTAAACATATTGGGGATACACCTATCAATAGCACTGACAGCCGTCCCAACATAGCATTTTGTGGGTTGTGACCAGTATTTACCATTGTTTCGGAACAGAGTGGAAACTAGACTTTCCCTCCACACTAGTATTTCCTGAAAAAAACACTTGATATTTTAGTTTCTAAATTTCCTGAAAGTTATTCCAGATGTTTTAAATAACCTGGAGTCTTGTTCTAAACTAACGAATGATTTTTAGTGGCAATATTTATTTTATCCAGTTGACGGTCAACAAGCCATAAGTTATATTTCCTTAGATCAAAATCCTATTTGTTTACAACGAACGGTTGTCAGGGATTGACTATACCAAATACTTAACATTATTTTCTCACTGAGGTAGGCAGACAGAAGTCGTAATGAGATGACTGTTTGACTTAATCCTGATGCATTTCACTTGTTCGTCTGTCCTTATGTAAATCTGGAAGCTGCTGACAAAAACTTCCCTTTATTTTTTTCAAACTATGTCCAACAAAAGTATAGAAAGATTCTAAACAACAGGTGATACATAATATATCGAGCTTTTCAGTTCATGAAGTGGCAATCAGTTTGGAAATGCACATGTAACTGTTAAGAGACAGTTCACAGATGAATAGTTTGTTTTCAAGCTTAATTCCATATCTACTCATGTTGGTATTGAATATTCAGATAACCAAGGAGTTAATAGTTTGGGGTCACCACGATATAGAGGTGAGGTTAAGTGGATAACCATAGCTTAGTTCTGTTTGTATGTGTCAGAAACACAACATACTTTTCTGATTTTGAATTTCACGTCCGAACAGCTTGAATTACTAAAATGTCTTACACATTTGAGGAACGGTGGTGAGTGTAGATTAATCTTAATTCAGTTTGTATGGTCAGTCAGTATAATATCCCTTACCCTTAGCATGTGGGTTGTTTCTAAGTACCTGGTGGGTTGATGTAGTATAGACTAACGATGAGAATGATGTAAGGAATGAAGTGGGGAAGTAATGAGGTATGGAACGGGACTGTGACTTGGTCACTTAGAAGTAAAAGTTTGATATAAAGGATCAGGGTTGAGGTTCCACAAACCTGTGATCATGGTCGCAAAACCCAACAGAAGTTTTTGACGTTTGATTATTAAATCGACACAACAAATGCAATAACTTTAACATAGGCGATTAGCACTTTACTATTATGGTTGTTTTTTCTGTGACTTATACTTTGTGCCATTCTTTGTTAGGAACAATCAAACAATACATATAATTAATACATAGCTCTCTTAAACATTATCTGAACTCGTTATCGTTTACACACAATAGTAACGTTTGTTGAACTTAAGTTTTTAAATCAAATGCGGTATTATAATTATGTAACGAGGTGGAACCGAAATGTCAGTTAAGTAATCTGGTTGTTGTGCAATATGCTTATTTGGCAGGAAACATACATACGTTTTTCATGACTTAAACAAAAGCCACAGAAAAGGCAGTTATTAAGACGGAGAACTTGCAAGCGACTTCTCAAGTTAGATGTGACGACTTACGCATTGCCATAGCTGATAGGATAAACATATTGAATTATTCTCAATATTTTTTTAACCAAACAATAACAGCGTTTTATTTACAAAGGTATGGATGGAAGTAAAAGTATCAAAGAATCACATAAAAGTCGGATCAAAAGTGGTCAGAAAACTGTCTATATCCTCTGATGCAAGAACGTTTCGCTCACCAGATAACGGCAAATTCTCTTGTTGAATTCTAGGTGGAACGTCAGCTTCTAAAGCACCACAGCTAGCATTTGAACATATCTCAGTAGCTTGTGCAACTGTATGTGACTCCGTAATTCGAAGGCGCTTGACGGGAGGTCCCTCCTGTTCGGGATTTGAAATCTTAATTGAAGAAGAACATACTTCCGAAGTATACTCGACGACATTATATTTTTCATCGGGTAAGACAAGCTTCGTTTGAGGAGTAAGTTGATTACCTGACAGAGTGTTTCTATATATCTCTGAATCTTCGTGACTGACGGAACTGCTGATATTTACACCACACAGTTGATGGTAATTACCTAGTGCGATTAAACTTACCACACTGTCTGAATGTTTCGTGAGGTTGGCGAAGAATCTCCGGACAGTGACATGAAACGTTTGACTACGAGTAGACATGGCACATGCAAAAGAAGCTTTTGCTAAAGCAATTAACAGAGGTGGACTGACTAAATTCATGGTACTGATCTTTTTCTGCCGCTGAGTATGAGACACTCCATAACTAAGAACAACGTTTATATGTGAGAGTAAGCTGGTTATACAGATCAGAAGACTGTTCACTTCGTTATGAACAGGTGTATGACTTGAGGGATTTTCTTTACCAGTCGTGCAACTGGAATCTATTGCTTTGGAGAGTTCTATATAGCGTAGAACTCCTGGGTCTTTAAAAATATATTCTACCAGGAGCAGGATCGCCAACAGCATACGCTTTTCAAACAGTCCAAGTGAAGTTACTTGAGGTTTCGGATGGTCATTATTGAAAACAGCATTGGTGGATGTGATTGGATACGTACATTGACAAGTAGAAAGAAATCCTCGTAAATCATACACCAACTGCGAAAATATTCGTGGTATCATTTCCATAAAATATGCGTACGAAAACTTTAAACTCGCAGTGGTGAGATGGAGTAAACAAGAAAAAGCTGCCAAACGCAGGCGCACAAAGTACTCCATATTTTTACTTTCAACTCGCCAGCTCGCAGTCCATTCTAAGTGGTATGTGACAAGAGTTAACAAGCAAGGAACAGCGGGCATGATTACTGTACCAACAGCTTGACACATTGTATCTAAACATAACATGAGACGACTAGAACTTTTTAGCAGACTACTTGGCATATTAGCCACGTCCGTCAATCTTACTTCGAAAAACCCATTAAATATAGAAACAAACATAGGTAAGCAAAAATTGATGTGCGTTGGAGAATCACGCGTGAAGATATAACGTAAGCAATAAGTGAAAAAATCAACACGCATAATCAGCAACTTTGAGAAGTCATCAGGTAGCTTTTTGATTTTGTCTACCGAAACAATACATAAGAAATCGTCTACCTTCGAATTTAGATACGCTTGAACGGTCGATAAAGTTACGTGAGGCAAACCATGAATTCCGAAGAGGCAGGACAATGAGTCACAAAGGCATTTGGATAGACGTAACTGGAACTCCTGAAAACGCTGAGGGGAGAATTTTAAAAATGGGA